AATGGGCTGAGCCCATGCAAAGCATACATGCCAGAGGCAAGGGTCTGCTCTGCCAACACAAAGTCAGAAGTCCCTGAGCACAACAGGGTATGGTTCCAAAAAAATAAGAAAAAATAATAAAGCTTTTTTGAAAAGGCTATTCATCTTATAAAATAATAAAAATATTAATTTTAAAAGAACAGGGTCCAAAGAGATAAATACATGGGGTAAGGCACTTGCCCTACATGTGGCCCGCCCAGATTGTTTTAAGAAAACTTAAAATTTATTTGCAATATAAACAAAGTCCTGTTGCTGACTCTGTGTGTGTGTGTGTGTGTGTGTGTGTGTGTGTGTATAAGAGAGAGAGAGAGAGAGAGGGGACAGTGACAAATTTCCCTTCATAAGATCATAAAGCAAAACTGGCAACCCTCTTGGCATACTCATTTATATATATTTAATGCATCTTTCTGGGTTTTTCTCGATAAAAGTTAAGGGGGGAAGAACACCCTGTACAGCATGGGAGCTTTTTGTCAATTTCTAGACTGTGGCAAGATCTTTTTTTTCTTTTTGCGTCACACGCAGCCAATGCTCAGGGGTTACTCCTGGCTCTGCACTCAGGAAATCACTCCTGGTGGTGCTTGGGGGACCATATGGGATGCTAGGAATCGAATCTGGGTCGGCCACGTGCAAGGCAAACGCCCTACCTGCTGTGCTATTGCCCCAGCCCCAAGACTGTGGCAAGATTTTAATCTTAAAGAATTTAAGATTAAATAAAGAATTTAAATTAAATTAAATTAAAGAATTTAACCTGAAAGAATGCCTGAAAGCCAAGCCTGTGCGGCAAGATACAGGTGGTGGCTGGGTTTCCACGTCCTGGTTTGTCTGCTGAGTGCTGTACCCCTGGTTTCATCCCAGATACAGCATATGGCTCCCAGGAACAACCAGGAATGACCTTGAGCCCAGAGCCATGAGCAAGCCCTGAGTACTGTCAAGTGCCTCCCCAAAACAAACAAACAAAAGAAGATAAGGAGTGGGCAGAGAAGTGAAGGACCTCTTACATGCAAAGGATGTTTTCATGCAAATTCCAACCAGGCACTACCTACATGTTTCTTGGGCAACAGGATGTGATGTAATGACTCACCCAACCCCCACCTATCTCCTCCCTCGGATGAAAGGGGTATAAACAATGTGTGATTTTCCTAATGTGTTGCTTTCGCTTAAAGACTTTAGGGGCAAGAAAGGATATAAGCACATTAAATATATACTGAACAAACCTGATCTATTTAGTAGCATATCCGTTCAAAGTACATACTGTCTTCATAACAGCAAATGATAACACTGCTTATTAATTCAGGCAATGTTACAGAGTCAAGTTCATGCTCCTTTTGCAGTTCAGACAGAAAAAAATTTGAGATGCACTGCCACAAGGCCACCCCTAAACAAATTCCAAATTGTTGAGACCGCCTCTCAAAAATAAAAGGCACAATAAGAAATAAAACGAAATCACTGATTTATTGAGTGCTGTTTGTGTATACTGAATTGTAAGGTTTTTAAACAGTCCTAGTTCTCTCCTCTTTCTAATTGGCCATGGGGCTAAACCCAATTGAGGGAAATCTTCGATAGAAAACACGTTTGCCAAAAAATCTGTTGACCTGGGGGAGTTCCATCTCCTGTCTAATGATCGTATTTCTGTGCTTCCAAGAATGGAGTACCTAAAACTGAAAACCACAAAGCAATCGCCAAAACCAAACTACACTGAGAATAAAAAGCACTATTTATTTTTTTTTTTAATTTTAAAAAGAACAAGGCTTGGGATCTTTTGTTCGATGTTTCAAACCACTTTTAGAAGCAACTGCATGTAGAGAGAGAGCCGGGAAAGAAACTGGTTATTTAAGGGGGCCTGCTCAGGACAAAGCACAGAGGGGCGCAGAAGTGATCAAGAACTCAAGTGTCTGGGCTGGCGCGACAATCCAGCGGGTAGGGCGTTTGCTTTGCACTAGGCTGACCCGGGTTCGATTCCCAGCATGCCATATGGTCCCCAGAGCACCACCAGGAGTAATTCGAGAGTGCAAAGTCAGCAGGAATCCCTGTGCATCGCCCAAATGATGCGCCAAAAAAAAAAAAAGAGAGAGAACTCAAGTGTCACTTTCCTCTATGGAAACCTTTTTGGATTTTTTTTTAAGCAGATTATTCATAACAAGCAATACAAAACAAATCATTTAGGATCTGCCTTTGGAGCAGGCTTAGGTGGTGGTGGTGGGAAAATTCGAAATAACGGCAGTGGGAAAGTGTAATGGTGTAAGGGTGGTGGGATTGGTGCTGGAATATCGAACGCAATAAACTATTATGAACAACTTTTAAAAAATAAAATTTTAAAATAAAAAAAGAACTTAAGTGTCAGGCAGGGAGCAGGCTCCCACCTCCTCGCCTTCTCCGCTGCCCGCTGCTACCTGTTTCCTGCACGCGGACGGGGTGGCAGAAAGATGCCAAGTCCCCCAGAAAAATAAAATAAATACTAGAAGAAAAGGAAGCAAGCTGGAAATGGAGTTGGGGCATTGCTGGAAATGAGGAAGGCGTGGCAGGAGAGAGTCAATCCGGCCTGGAAGATGCAGGGTCGTCGTCGTGGCGACTAGAGGTGAGGGGGGAGGTGAAGTGGAGGAGGGGGAGAAGGGGAGGGGCAGGAGGAAGAGAGGAGTAGGAGGGGGGAAGGGGGAGGAGAAGAAGGGGAGGAGGAGGAGAAGGGGAGGAGAAGAAGGGGGGCAGGAGGAGGGGGGCAGGATGAGGTAGAGGTGGTGGAGAAAGATTGGAAGAGAAGAGTGTGGAGGAGGAGGGAGAGGAAGAGGAGGGAGAGGACTGGAGGAGGAGGAGGAGAGGGGTGCCGGGCTATAGAGAGGCCAGGCCTCGAAGACAGCTCGGCCAGGACCTCGGACTCGCAAGGGTGACCCGGGATCTTGCATTGTGCTCGCCCCTCGGCTCCCTTCCCTCCCCCGCCTCCTCATCGTCCCCTCCGCCCCGAGCCCTCCCAGCTCCTCCGGACCGCAGAACCCGGGGCCGCCGACCTCCCCCCTGCCCCCCGCTTGAGGCCGCAGTCGGAGCCTCTCTCTGCTCAGCCCTCGAGCAACCCTTTCTCACCCGGTGAAGATCGCCGTCGCCCGGCCTTCCCCCGGTCCATTTCTCCTCCTGCTGGACCCGCAGCCGCTGTCACCTCGGGACCCCCTCCGACTGGAGGAGGGAGGGGGGAGGGGCGGGAGAAAAGCCAGGGCCGTACGAGCCGCGCCTGCGCAAGAGCGGCCGCCGGGGGCCCCGACCGGAAGTGGGCCGCCCCTCCCTCCGCCTCCCGGAAGTCACTTCCTGGGACTTGTTTTCTCTGCGGGCTGCGGCGGCCGCGCCACCTGCGCCCCCAAGCCGCACAGCTGCGGGCTTTTGCGTCTACCCGGGGCTGAGGAGGGGGCGCCGCGTGGGGCTTAAGCCCGTGAGCTTCAGGCGCAGTGAAGGCGACGTTCAAGGAAAATTCAAAGGAGGGAAACTTGGAACACTCCTTTTCGTTCGCCCCTCGTGTTTGACTTGACCCCTAGAAATAGAACTAGGTGTTAGCTGCTTGGTCTCCTGACAAGATTCTCCTTACGCTCTCTTCTGTATCATTTATCTTCGTGGCGCTTTCTCAATCTCAAAAACTGTTTTCAGAAGCAAAAAAAAAAAAAAATCAAGAGGTGGGAGGGAAACTGAGGACATTGGACATTGGTGCTGGGAAATTGCACTGGTGGAGGGATGGGTGTTGGAACCTTGTACGCCTGAAACGCTATCATGCGCAAATTTGCAATGCTCTACCTCCCGGTGATTCCATTAAAAATATAAATTTTTTAAAAAGAAGGGGAAAAAAGCCCACAGTTTAACGAGTGGAGTGAAAATGAGTTTCACTGAGGACACAACGTCTTAGCCATCGGGATTTCTTTATAAATGCAAACGCCACACATCAACACATTTCAGGGCCCCCGGGGGAAGAGGGCGGGGCGGGAAAGCCCAGAAAGGCCGTGAACTAGACCTTAGGGGTAGGTTGGTTTGTTTTAACTTAAAAGGGCTGAGTTGACAGTGAGTTGCTAACCCTGGGGTTCCTACAAACTACAGTATTTAAGGGAATTAGCCCTGTCAGGAACTCAGCCTCTCGTAGTTAAGGTGGTTTAATTTGGTAGTTTTCAAAGGGCTGCTGCATTTATTGGCCAAAATATACATGATTTAAATGATTTTTAATGTGTATGCTTCGATCGGCATATAAATTAAGCAAAATTGATCAATCTGGCTCTGCAGAGGCAAAAGATGATGAGAGTGTTCAAACAAGAAGGGGACCTGGAGAAAACCTCCGTGTTTTCCCGAAGCCAGTAAAAAGACTTCCCCCAGCTCAGCTTTAGGGCTGTGTGAATGGGCCTGAATTGGCGAGTGGGCTGTGGGGGTAGAGGGGAGCCCCAGGTGTGGAGAGCGATTGGGCTGGAGGAGTGTCATATGTGGCAAGAAAAGTTCAAAAGCCCGTCCTTACACGGGAGGACGCGCTTAGACTGAAATTCACCTTGACCGGATTTAGAGACCCTAATTTATTCTGTTAGAAAAACATTGCTTACCAAAAATATATATATACGTAAATTTTTATGTTTTCTGCTAAGTCATCTTGTTGAATACTTTTAGCTAAAGCATCAATCCAGTTTGATTCACTAAGCAGCATTATACGAAGCGACTTCACTACCCAGGATGGAAATAGAGCTGAGAGATGAGAACATTAAAAAGGTAAGTATAAGTGGAGGTATTCCATTTTTCTCTCAAACTAGCAATTTCCATAAAAGTAGATGGTTTTAAAGTTAAATGGTAGAAGTAACTCACCAGACATTAAATAAGTTAAATTATGCAGCTTGCAAATGTCATTGAAACTTGTCGTTGAAACAAAGTACTTTATATATATATATATATATATAATTTACACTTTATTTTCCTTGAAAGGAGTTTGTCTTCAATCCTTAAGGTCAGTGGTTGCCTTACATGGGTTTCGGTGGAGGTCTTGGGGCAGAACCCGCAGGTCTGAACCTCGGTGGGGGTGTTCGGTCCTTGCAGCTGTCGAGAACGCTGGCTTCGGAAATATCGCTCACTGCTGCGGCCTCCACAATGTTTCTAATGACAAACTTCTTGATAGCCTTATCCTTGGGCACACATCGGGTGCAGTTGGTGCAGCGGATGGGCTGCAGGTGGCCACAGCCCTTTTTGATTCCCCCATTGTTTCTTCTTTTTTTTTTTTTTTTGGTCATGTTGGAAGTGGAGATATGGAGGGGAAAAAACTACATTATTTCTGTTAGTACTTTGTGAGACAGTTTGTTTCTTTAAATTACAGAAGTTTAAGCTCAAAAATTTTAAGGTTGCTTTTTAAACCAACAAATTTTTGTTTGGTTGGGGGGAGTTGGGGAGGAGGGTTAGAGGAGGGAGGCAAGGGGGAGCTGTGTAATACCTGAGGATGCTCAGGGGCTTCTGATGGACTCAGTGTGATACCAAGAATTGAACCTTGGTTCCTGCATCAAAACTTTTGCTCAGGCACACACACTAAGGGAAAAGGCAGCTCAGATAGAGAAGGGAGCACCAAATAAAGGGTGTTGGAAGGATCCTCCCAGGATGGGAGATGCATGCTGAAAGTAGACTATAGACCGAACATGATTGCCACTCAATGCCTCTTTTGCAAACCACAGCACCCACAAGGAGAGAGAGAACCAAAGGGAATGCCCTGCCACGGAGCCAGGGTGGGATGCAGGGAGGGGGGTGGGGAGGGAGGGATACTGGGATCAGTGGTGGTGGAGGATGGGCACTGGTGGAGGGATGGGTACTCGATCATTGCATAATTGAAACCCAAGCACAAAAATTTGTAAGTCTACAACTGTACCTCATGGTGTTTCACTAATAAAAATTAAAAAAGAAAACGAAAAACTTTTGCTCAGGGCCGAAGTGATAGTTCAACAGGGAGGGCATTTATTTGCCTAGCATGCAGCTGACCCAGGTTCAATCCCCAGCATCCCATATGATTTCTCGAGCACTGCCAGGAGTAATTAATTCCTGAGTGCAGAGCCAGGAGTACCCCCTGAGCATCGCTGGGTATGGCCCACAATGAAAAAATGAATAAAAATAAACATAGGCTCAACCTATTTCTTCCACAACCTCCCATTCACAATCTACCCCCACCCCCATGCTATGCATGTTTAAGATCACTAGTAAAAAGTAGTCTATTGTGGCCAAGAGATAGAACAGCAGGTGAGAAGTGTGTCTTGCACACAGCCAACTTGAGTTGATCCCTGGCATTCCATATGGTCCCAAGAGCTCATTAGGAATGATTCCTGAGTGCAGAGCCAGGAGTACCTCCTGAGTATACCAAGTGTGACCCAAAAACAAAACAAAACAAAAGTCATCTATGGGACAAGTAAGAATCTTGTCTTGCACATGGCTGACCCTGTTTGATCCCCAGCACCACAGTTGATCCACAGAGTAAGGCCTGAGCAGTGCTGCTTGTAGCTCAAAAGCAAAACATAAAGAAGGAAAAGAATTTCTCAGTCTCCTTAAGCTTCCTGAACTACTTTGTCATGTTACTTTACAATTGAAAGTCTTATTTACCTATTTATAAGATAAATATATCAGCTAAGTATATCAAGAACATACCTTGAAACTCTTAAGAGTTCTTGAAGCTAAGAATCTTATTCCAACACATTCCCTACTTTGCTTGGCTTATATTTTTTATTTGTGTGGCATACCTGGCAGTATTCAGGGATCAAACCAGGGTTCCCCTATGCCAAGCATGTGCTCCAGCACTTCGATTTATCTACACCACCCTCCACCCTATTCTTTAGAAGATTAAGCATATATGTTATTTTATCTTCATTTTAATGAATTATCTTCAGAGATGAATTATCTATAGAGATTCTCAGAATTATCTGAAAATATAAGATATTCTCAGAATAATTAATTATATGACCTCTATTAATTTTAGAATCACAGAAAAGACATCTAATTTTTCAAAGTCTTTTAACATTTCTTTCTCCTACATATACTATATAAAGAACTTTTACTCTCATGCTCTTGGCAAAAATTATAAATTTTAATAACAATGTGTAAGGGTCTACTGGGACCAGGTACTACTCCAAGCTCTAGAGATTCAGTAAACAAAGTTCTTTCTTTTTTTTTTTTCTCCTTTTTCTTTTTGGTTTTTTGGGGGCACATCTGTCAACGCTCAGGGCTTATTCCTGGCTCTTTGCACAGAGATCATTCCTCATAGTGCTCAGGGCACCACATGTGCTGCCAGGGATTGAACTCAGGTGAGTCATATGTGAGGCAAACACCTCACACACACTTTACATGCTGTACTTTCTCTGCAACCCTTGAACAATGTTCTTGGCCCTGCTGTCATGGAAACTATATTCTAATGAAGGAAGACATTTATAAACAAGTACATTAACAAGTGCTATTTGAAAAAGGAGGAAGGAAGGGAGAGAGATGTAACAAAAGTAGAATTTGAAGGAAATGAAACTATGGGTTTCGAAGAGAAAGGTGTTGCAGAGCAGGCAGTCGGGGTTGGGTAAGGGATGCCTTTTTGTTTTTGTTTTTGTTTTTATGAGTCACAGTGAGATAGTTACAAAGCTGTTCATTTCAGTGATACAGTGTTCCAACACCCATCCCTCCATCAATGTACATTTCCTACCCTCAATGACACCAGTTTCCCTCCCGCCATGCCCAACCCCCCATCCCCCACCCCAGCCTGCCTCTATGGCAGACACTTTTATTCTCCCTGCCCCTACCCCTTCTCCTACCCCCTGACCTCCTTTGGGACTTTATGGCCTGCAATACAGATACTGAGAGGTGATAGTTAGAAATGATCACTGGATAAGAATGTGTGCTGAGAGTAGTAAAGGAACAAAGGGGAGATGCTTTAAAGGGGAGTTTGCTTCACTAGCTGGACGCTGGAAAGAAATCAGGCGTATCTAGAGACACTTATGCAGGAGAGTTGTGGGGGAAACATTTGAACAAGAGCTCAGGTGGAACATCCTGCTGCTAGATGAGCAGCAAATGAGAAAATGAAAGAAACTAGAGAATATACTGTGTTTTATTTTTGGTTTTGGGGCCACACTCAGTGGTGCCCTATCCACTGTACTGTTGTGCTGGTACCTAGAATGCACAGTAGGTAGGCCATTTGCCTTGCATGTGGCTCACCTGGATATGATTCCTGGCACCTCAGATGGGTTTGGGGTCAGTGGGGCTGTGAATTTTAGCCACTCACAGAAGTGCTTTCAACCTAGGCCTTCCATATTTGCATGCTGCCCAAAGTATTTCTAGATCTAAGAGATCACTGTTATTTTTGCACAAACCTTCACATCGATTACAAATTATAAAATTCCTGTTAGAGAGAAATTTAGTGAAATGTGGTAAAATGGAAAATGCTTTTAGAATACACAAATTAGACTTATAGATATATGACCTAGAGAAACTCTTAATATGTACCAAAAATACAGCTATAGGATGGGACCGGAGTGATAGTACAGCGGGTAGGGAGCTTGACTTGCACGTGGCAGACCTGACCTCTATCCCTGGCACTCTACTTGGTCCCTTCAGCCGACCAGGAGTGACCCCTAAGCACAGAGCCAGGAATAAGCCCTGAGCACCATTGGGTGTAAACAAAGAAAAAAAATATGCCACTAAGAATGTTTGAGTAGCGACTGACCTGGGTTCGGTTCCCAGCTTCCCATATGGTCCCCTGAGCGCCGCCAGGAGTAATTCCTGAATGCAGAGCCAGGAGTAGCCCCTGTGTATAGCCGGGTGTGACCTAAAAATCAAGAAAAAAAAAGAATGTTTGAGTGAAATAGTTCAAATGGCTGCATGCTTTACATGGAGAAGGTGGGAATCATTTCCTGGCACCACATAGTTCCACACCGCACCAGAAGTCACCTCTGGAGCACAGAGTCAGGAGTAGTCTCAAAGGCTCAAAAACCAAAGAACAGCATGTTCAATACTGCTTAATGAGCAACCTAAATTTTTAGCAGGGAAGTTGTTAAACAAAATAAAGCACATTTAAGCAATGGAACAGTATAAACAAAATGAATTGAAGTATATTTATTGGTGTCGATAACAATCATAGTGTTGGAGCTGGAGAGATAGTGCAACAGGTAAGGTTCTGGCCTTGCACACAACCGACCAGAGTTCAATCCCCAGCATCCTGTATAGTCCCCCGAGAATCAGCAGGAGTAATTCCAGAGTACAAAGCCAAGAGTAACCCCTTCGCATTGTCAGATGTGGGCCAAAAATCAATGTGTGACCCAATATAAGATGTTTCACACTTCAATTTTTCGTAACCTTGTGAAATAAATTTTGTCTCTATTTTACATTTATTAAAAACCTATATAAAGAATATCAAGCAATGTTACATATAATGAACATTAAAATTAAATAGTAGTTAAAGTTCTCTTCTCATGGAGCATTCAAGTCACTGACAGATTTTAAAAATAAAAAATGTAAATAATTGGGGTCGAAGCGATAGTACAGTGGGTAGGGCATTTTCCTTGCACGTGGCCGACCAGGGTTTGATCCCAGGAATCCCATATGGTTCCCAGAGCAATGCCAAGAGTAACCCTGAGCATCGCCAGGTGTGACCCCAAAAGCCGAAAAGAAAGCAAATAATTATATATCTGGCGATAAGGTAGATTATTAAGAACACTAAAGCAAGCCCAGGGCTCTAGCTCAGTAGTAAAGCACTGGCTTTGCATGTGTGAAGTTGTGGGTTGGATCCCTAACACAGAGGGGAACTAAAGCAATAAAGCACAGTAGCAGGATGGCAATGATTGCTATTTTATTTTTTGTTAATTCTCAGTCTACCTTCACTTGTTACTATTGATGGTGTTATGATAATCAGAAATTGTACATCTGGTGATGGTGCTTGCTCAATATTTTTTTCAATTGTTACTCTCACCTGAAGTAGCATTGTCAAGGTAGCAAGTTGAACGCTTAAGGACTTGGCTATGTTGATTACTCAAGTTTGCAGTTTTTTTCAGTCACCTTGCTTACAAATGTGCACACAGGGGATCACACCAGTTGTGTTTGGGGTGCTCATTGGGGGTTGTTGCATTGCTCACACATCCACCAGAGGTTGCACTTCTTTTTAGTTAATGATGGTGGTGGTGGGAGGGAGTTGGATTAGGTTACACTCAATGTTGTTCACCTGGTTCTGTGCTCAGGAATTAATTACTCCTGCCTGTGGGCTTACTTCTGGCCTTGTTTGAGGGAC